GTAAAATAACTGAGAAAATAACTAGTGCCGTACTGTATGTTTTGACATATTACACTGTTCACAGTCTTTGATTATAATCAGAAGACATTACATATTGCTTTTGAAAACATAAACCTGGTATCTCTCTATAAATCAAATGCCAGATTAGAGAATTATTGTGCACAATGTTCACTGCTACATTTTTACTACTGATATGCTCCTTTTAGAACTCTTTCTTTGTGTGTATAGTGAAATTCACCCTACTGCAGAGGGGCCAACACAAGGCTCATGTGCTATTTAAGTCCTACTTTAAGCCCTATTTTTAGGGGTCAAATGGAACTTAAATGGCAAATAGGCACAGTGGTGAATTTCACTCTTATAGTATTATCCTATAATGATCTTGTGCAATAATCATGGTCTATTATAACATCCAGTACAGAATTCCACTATTTTCTGTATTAATGTTTCACAGCCAAAACATGTTTCCTTTGTGACAGAGGCTTTTTGATCTTCTTCCTCACAGCTGAATAAAAGTTCTTGAAGAATTTATAGTTGTTTACAATTAACAGCTTTGCATAGCATGTTTATGTTGCAATCCCTAATGTGGAAAAACTCTGATCTACTGACTCCTTGTCCTACGTAAAATTGGCAGAATCTGGCTGAGGTCCTGATCCAGCAAAAACTTAAGTAATTGAGCAGTTTTATAAACAGGAATAGTCCAGTCGAACTCCATGTGTGTTGTTACTGGCATGTGTAAGTATTTACAGAATCAGGTCTTGCCTTTGTAAGTAGTTTTCCATTGTAATCTGGATTTTGACACCTCCCTCCCGCCCCCACCTGCCAACCAACACTTCAACCTGAAATTTATCACGTCTTCTTCCACAGGAGCATTTTAAAAATATATATATATATATATATATATATATATATTAGAATTGGACAAGATGATCACGAGATCAGAGTTTTCAGGGGGAAAAAAATCATAATTCACCATTGTAAAAATGCTCCTAACTGTATCATAGATAGCTCTAAAAACAAAAGTGTTGTCAAGAAACTCCAATATTTTTTTCTGCTATCCTTGATGAGAAACACTACCCAAATATTTCTGGACTATATTTAGAAATATAGACAGCCCCTACCTCAAATATTGTACTATCTAAGTATAAGACAAGAGGGGATGGGGGGGGAGTGCAAGGAACCAATGAGATGATATTAGTCATACATGACAGGCAGTGGTCTCAGCACACAGGCAGCCTAACTGTTGTCAAATGTATTGTAGGCATCACAGCAAGAGAGAGTTTTGGAGGAGGATAGTGAGGTAACTTTATGGATGTTTATGGGGAGCTCCTCCCCATCACAAGGGGCAGCACGGGATAAAGCAGAAAAGTACTTGTTGGAAAATGGAACAAGTGACAGAGTCTGGCATCATGGGTTAACTGGAGGCGAGAGTTGACATCTTGATAGCAAAGGAGAGATGACAGGCAGGATTGGAGAGGCCGCAAAGAGCCTGGAGAGCGAAGACACACAGTTTATGTTTAATGTGGGGGAAAACAGGGGAGGGATGTAAAGAGAGGGGTAACATGATCAAATGGGCCCCAGTCCATGACTGGGGCTCCCAGGTGCTATGGTAATACAAAACAAAAACAATCAAAGGATAGGGCAGAAAAGTGATCTTGGCAGGAGCATTCTGAATGGATATGAATGGGGCAAGACTGCATTACTTGAGGCTAGAGAGAAAGATGTTGTAGTAACTGAGATGTGAGAGTTTTTGCTATGTGGATGGATAAGAAAGGCCAAGTCATTTCTCATTTCCCCTTCTAATATTACAAGAATAATTGGATCAGAAGTTAAGAGAGACATGCCCAAGGTTGCTTGCTGATAAGCTCTTACATTCACTTTATTGTGGTACAACAAATTTAAACAAATACTGGATAGGGAATTTTTATTATTTTGCAAGTTAGGTTTGGCATTCCTTTCTAATATGTGGTCTAGTTGCACTTATTTTTTCCACTTGGTTTCAATTAATATCACATTTGTTCATAAAATGAAAGCCAAGCAGTATTCAGGCAAAAACATTTCCATCCAGCTTCTCTCTTACATGTGGTTATCACTGGATGCTGATGGAGGCGAAAAATGCATGTCACAGGAAAAGCTTTTTTGAGCCCTATTAACTTCAAAATGTATATAAGCACAAGCCTCTAAACTAACTGCATTATAATTCGATCAAAATTACTTGGATTTGACAAAAATGGGATTGTGGTAAGAGATGAATCAACCCTGATTTCTATCAAAAGCCATTCAAACTAGAGCAGGGGTGGGCAAACTTTTTGGCCCGAGGGCCACATCGGCGTGCAAAACTGTATGGAGGACCAGGTAAGGAAGGCTGTGCCCCCCAAACAGCCTGGCCCCCACCCCCTATCTGCCCCTTCCCACTGCCCGCCCCCCTCAGAACGCCTGACCCATCCAACCTCCCCCTGCTCCTTGTCCCCTGACTGCCCCCTCCCAGGACCCCCAACCCCAAACCGCCCCCCCCCGAGATCCCACCCCTTATCCAACCCTCTCTGCTCCCTGTCCCCTGCCTACCCCCTCACCCCCCGACAGGCTCCCCAGGACTCCCACGCTCTATCCAACCCCCCTTGTTCCCCGACCCCTGACCGCCCCGCCCCAGAACCTCCGCCTCATCCAACCGCTCCCCGTCCCCTGACTGCCCCCAGGGGTCCCCTACCCAACTCCCCCACTGCTGCGTGCACTTCGCCCCCTTACCATGCCACTTGGAGCAGCAGGAGCTCGCAGCCCCACTGCCCGCATGGCAGCGTAACGTCAGGGGAGGGGGGACAGCAGGGGAGGGGCCGGGGCTAGCCTCCCCAGCCGGGAGCTCAGTGGCTGGGCAGGGTGATCCCGCGGGCCGGATGTGGCCTATGGGCCATAGTTTGCCCACCTCTGAACTAGAGCATGAATGAAGTGTCTCATTTTTCTACGCTGCAGCCCTCCTGACCCTTCACTGCTGAGAGTCTGATAGTATTTGCAACAGAAAGCTAAACTAGGTTTTCACCCTTTAAGTATTTTTAGTCTATTCATATTTATGATGGCTATATTGAGCTTGATTCGACAAAGTGTTGAATCCCAGTAATTTCAATGGGAGTTGAGGGCACTCAGCACCTTGCAGGATCATGTTCATAAAGCCCTAGTAAACTGTCTGGCCAAGATATCTTCTATCCACACTTTGCTGTCCTGAGGCATATACTAACAAAATCTTCATGGTGTATTGAATTCATGTATTGGCATGAATTTCACAACTGCGAGTTTTTAATCCTTCAGCAAGAAACAATTGGATGTAGTGGGTCTATGAGAAAGACAAGGTGGGTCTTTTATTGGACCAAATTCTGTTGGTGAAGCTTTCGAGCTACACAGAGCTCTTCTTCAGGTCTGGGAAAGGTAGTCAGAGTACCACAGCTAAATACAAGGTGGGAGAGATTGTAGAATCACAGGACTGGGAGGGACCTTGAGAGGTCATCTAATCCTTTCCCCTGCACTCATGGCAGGACTTAGTGTTATCTAGACAAGAGTTCTCAAACTATGGTTCACGGACCACCAGTCGTCCGTGAGTTCCATTCAGGTGGTCCGCAGATAGTTCCCTCTGAGGTGTGCCTCTGGGCAGCTGCACACGAGAGAACGAAGGGCCACCCACCTAATTAGTGGAGCCACGCAAGTATGGCTCCACTAATTAGGTGCCTGGACCCTGGAGAAGATGCACGTGTAAGGTGAGGTGGTGGTTTTGGCGGGAACAGGAGGAAGGTAGGAAGGGCCAGTGGGTTGAGAAGAGGGGGTGGGGAGAATTTGGGACATGCAAGGCTGCAGCGGCCACAGAAAGAGGCTACTCTGAAACCTTTCCCCAGCTCCAGGGTTTCAGCTGCCGGGGAGAGACAGCCCTCCTTCCCAGCCTCAGCTCTGTGGCTGCTGTGGTGGGGGAGAGACCTCCCACCCTCCTTCCCAGCCTGGGGGCTGCCGGGGCAGAGGAGAGAGGGAGAGATCCCCCTTCTTCCCAGCCCCAGCTCAGGGACTGCTGCAGCGGGGGAGAGAGGGCACATCCATCGGATTAGAAAGGTTAGATTAGAAAGTAAGACTAGTGATATTAAAATATGAGTTGTGTGCTTTTATTTGTAGAACAAAAAAAAACATTAATTATTAAGGTTCTTTTTAACATAGCGCTTTTATCCAATAGTTAGCTAATGGTAGAAACAACATTTGGAAAGATCATTAAGTGGTCCACGGAGGCCCTCAGCAATTTTCAAGTGGTCAGCGAAAAAAAAAGTTTTGAGAACCACTGATCTAGACCATCCCTGACAGGTGTTTGTCTAACCTGCTCTTAAAAAATCTGCAGTGATGGAGATTCCACAACCTCCCTGGGCAATTTATAACAGTGCTTAGTCACCCTGACCAGTTAGCCTATGGGTAAACACATGTTGTAAGAGATCATTTAAGATGCAGTGGGCAATTCACACCTCTGCAGTCACAGGACAAAGGAGGGTTAGTAGGTTACAGATTGTTGTAATGACACATAAAACCAGTATTTCTGCTGAGTACTGAGGGCTAAACCAATTCTGTGAATTTACATTAGTTCTGTTAAAACGCGGAAAGTGAATATAACCAGCGTAAACTCTTGTGACTGAATTGTGGCCAAGCTTCAACTTATTTGATCATTTAAAGCTTTAAGGCTGCCAGTAAGAAGGGGTTAAAATAGCACCCAATTACTAGATTCCTCTTACACTATAAGTGTGAGAGTTGAATACGTCATAAAAGTGGACATATTCTGCCTCTCTTGTAATACTTAGCCGGATGCCAGCAAGATAATCTTAAACACATCTCGTATGCTCAGAGACTCAAGATTTCAATCCCTCAAGTGTTTAATATCTTGCCAAAAAGGGAAGGTTTGATAAGGTCTCTTGATATTAGAGCTAATGTAAGGCTGTAAATTCTGAAATTACTGAAAACGCCCTTAAATTGCTTTTAATGCATCTTACCAGAAGGTCTGTTTTGCAGCTTGTATGACACTTGCAGTCATCTCCACATCAATATAGTCATAGTGCAGAGCTCCAGGATCTGTAGCTGAACCGGTTTCAGCCAGTAAAATCCCAATCCATCTGCCCATGTCTTCAGATGATGAAGGCTATGAGGATGAGAAGATTTTATGTAAACTCAAATTATCACTGAAACAATAGGCTTTTTCATATTATTTACTTCATAATTACATGAAGTAATTATTTTACTAACATATTGATATAATGATGCATGTGAAGTTCTGGATCACCTTTGCCAAACTATGCTAACAAAAAGTAATATTCACTGAGGTTATTATGTCATAACGAACACATTTAAAGCAACATGTTAATTGATTATGTAGTAAAGCAATATGAACAGTTCCAGCAAAATAATGAAAGCATAAATGCATGAAGCCAGTGTATCTAGGTATGCACCTTCCTTATTTTAGATTTCAGAAAACTGAAAGCTGAGACAAATGTTTTCCACTACACGGCTAAGCTTTTAAGAAAGGTAACTTGTCCAAATTGTAGAGGCAGGATAACCTTGGACAAAGAAATACTAGAGCAGGTTGAAAAATGGAGGGGGGGGGGGGAATTAAAATGGTGGAAATCATTCTAGTTTTTGAAATTCAATGATTTTCATTTTTTGAAAAATTTCATAAAATTTTATAGGCATTTCAATATTTATTTACTTTAAGTTTCTTTATTCAATGTAACAGACTCAAAGATTTTTTTCCTTTATCTCAATTTCCTTACCATAGTTCCTCTTCTTTATACTACACTTCATTCATTTCCTGTTCTTGTAAATCATCATCCAAATAACCTGTACTGTGCATACGTAGCATGATCCTTCTTCAAGGACAAGACACTGACCTCATCTGCACTTAAGAAAACCTGAGTGTTCAAAGTATCTGACCAGAGTCTGAAAATGAAAGTTGGCCTCCCACTCGTTTCCTTACATGTTATCTTTATCTGAGGTTTCCAATTTTGACCAATAAAAAGGCAATAGAGCTACCATGGAGCAATTTTTCATAGTTCAAGTTTGTTTTTAAAATAAGCACTGAAAAGAACTTATTTTAGCTCATTTGAAATTTCCTATTCTGTTTGTTTTATTCTGACTTTTTTTTTGGGGGGAAGGGGTTCCTACCCTTGGATTTGTTGCAAAGACATTAAATAATACAACTATGGAGCTCTTTAGTGTAGTTTTCCATTTTACAGCTATTCCCTGTGTTAAGCAAGAGCGCATTCTCTCAGATCGGCTCAGTGGTTGTCAATAGCTGTCTTCTCTTGGTCTTTGGACTCACAGAATCCAAGTCTAGAAGGGGCCATTGTGGTCATCTTGTCTGACCTCATGTGTAACACATGCCACACAACTTCTCCCAAATAACTTCTACAGCGTGTTTTTTAGAAAAACGTCGAATCTTGATTTAAATATGGTCAGTGATAGAGAATCCACCATGACCCATGGTAAGTTGTTCCAATGGGGTAATTACCCACACCGCTAAACAATTTCTTGTCTGAATTTGCCTTGCTTCAACTTCCAGCCATTGGATCATGTTACACCTTTCTCTGTTAGACTGAAGAGTCCATAATTAAATATTTGTTCCCCATGTAGTACTTATAGACTGTAATCAAGTTACCCCTTAACCTTTTCCTTGTTCAGCTATGTAGATTGAGCTCTCTGAGTCTATCACTATAAGGCACCTTTTCTAACCATTTAATCATTCTCATGGCTCTTCTCTGAACACTCTCCAATTTATCACCATCCTTCTTGAATTGTGGACACCAGAACTTGACGCCATATTCCCAGCAGTGATCACACTAGTGCCAAATGCCAAAGTAAAATAACCTCTCTACTTCTACTTGAGATTCCCCTGTCAACGCATCCAAGGATTACATTAGCCCTTTTGGCCACAGCATCGTGCTAGGGGCTCATGTTCAGATGATTACCCAATAGAACCCCCAAATCTTTTTCAGAGTTACTGCTTCCCAAGATAGACTCCCCCATCTTGTAAGTATGGCCTACATCCTTTGTTCCTAGATGTATGCATTTACCTTTAGCCATATTCAAAGTGCATATTATTTGCTTGTGCCCAGCTCACCAAATGATCCAGATCGCTCTGTATCAGTGATCTGTTCTCTTCATTATTTACCACTCTAATTATTTTTTGTTATCTGTAAACTTTATCAGTGATGACTTCATGTTTTCTCCCAGGTCATTAATAAAAATGTTAAAAAAAGTATAGGGGCAAGAACCTATCTGTGTAGGACCTCTCTAAAACCACATTCATTCAATGATGATTCCCTGTTTACATTTTGAAACCTATCAGTTTACCCGGTTTTAATCCTTTTAAAGTGTACTATATTAGTTTTATATCTTTCCAGTTTTTTAATCAAAATGTCATGTATCTTACAGAAGTCTAAGTATATTACAACACAACTACCTTTATCAACCAAACTTTTAATCTCATCGAAAAAAGATATCAAGTCAGTTTGACAGGATCTACTTTCCATAAACTCATGTTGAATGGCATTAATTACTTCCATTAATCACTCTTATAATTCTTTATTAATAGAGTCCTGTATAAGCACTCCATTATCTTACCCAGGATTGATGTTAGACAGACAAACCTATAATTATCCAGGTCACCATGTTTACTCTTTTTAAAAATTGGCACAACATTAGCTTTCATCCAGTCTTCTGGAACTGCCCCAGTGCTGCCCATCTGCATGAGACATGCATATTTCCATGGAAGGATGCTTCGCTCACTGTGGGCCGGTGGTTTGGAAGAAGTTGATGCTCATAAAATAAATGCACCTATATCACCTTTATAGTGCAGGCAATACTATTGGTACAGGTCACTTTCTTCTGGCAAATCTGACCCATGTGCAGCAGAAAGCAGACTAGAGAGGACGCTACTTTGGGACAAAAAGAAAAGGAGGACTTGTGGCACCTTAGAGACTAACAAATTTATTTGAGCATAAGCTTTTCTGAGCTACAGCTCACTTCATCGGATGCATTCAGTGGAAAATACAGTGGGGAGATTTATATACACAGAGAGCTCACGAAAGCTTATGCTCAAATAAATTTGTTAGTCTCTAAGGTGCCACAAGTCCTCCTTTTCTTTTTGTGGAAACAGACTAACACTGCTGCTACTCTGAAACCTGTAACGAGAGTGATCAGGTAAGGTGAGCTATTACCAGCAGGAGAGCGGGGAGAAGAAACACTTTTGTAGTGATAATCAAGGTGGGCCATTTCCAGCAGTTGACAAGGACGTCTGAGGGGACAGCAGCACTAAGGCTATTTGCAGTACTGGAGCTATTGTGCTAGCTTTTTCCATCCAATCCTGGAAGAGTACACAGTGCTTAGCCTTGCTTGAAACAAGTCTAATGTAAACGATGGTATAATGGCCTGTGTACAACTGGGAATGTTTCACTGATGTGCATGGTAGGAGGCCCAACTTGTGGCTAGGAACCAATTTCTCTAGTATAGATATACCACCTGACGATGACTTCAGAATAACAAATCTTAAAGTTGATTAATATTCCCAGGAGAAATACAGATCCAGCATTCTAATCTTCAGTGTAGTGAGACACAGCAATGTTATTTAATTAGCGCTCAGTCATTTGTATTCTGAATTACCTCCTTGATAGAAGACGAACAGGGGAGGTGCATAGGCACTTATAAAGGGAAGAGAAAAGGTCAGAGTGGAGAGAGAGAGAGAGAGAGAGACAGCAGAAAACATCTTAACAGGGAAGACTGTTGTGAGTTAAAAATCAACAGTATTAGGGTTTGATTTAACATCAATTCTCATCCAGATAAGTCTCTTTTGCCCGTAACTCTTAATTTGTTTCTTTCTGTAATGATTGTTACCCAGCTCTGTAACTCTATTATTTAACTGTGGAAAGCATTTTGAAAGGCAGGTTGTATGAACGAGGTCATGTAATTAGCCCATATGCATCTCTGCAAAGTATGCACATCAATAAACATCGCACCTCTAACACTGCGACCTCCTGCCCATTTCGAAGCAGACGGAATGTCAAGGGATGCTTGGAATCCAAGCCTGGAATGACTTCACAGCCACGCAGAGGAATAGAAACAATGTGGGTCTTCAGATCTGTTCTGTCCTTATGGAAAATGAGCTTATTATCTTTCACTCTGCACCAGCGTTCGCGCCACCGGTTATTTGAGAGCACATTCAGATATCCTGCAATAAAACAAAATATGAGCTATTTTATCCTTCACATTTTTTTAAAAATGTTTTTTTGATGTAAAAATGTTTTTTAGTTCATATAAAACTTATTCCTGTACATGCAGATTGAAAATCCAGATTTTAAGACGACAAATAAATGGCCTTTTAAATTTTTTTTATTGAAACTCTCACTGTACCAGTAACTCAGAAAGCCTGGCCTATAAAGATTTGATCCTGGTCATATTCCGAACATATGCAAATGACTGTGCTGAGTCAGTGACAGTTCTGGCTGAATATTCCAGAGCTCTCCTGCCACAGGGTTTCCCCGAGATTTTAGTAAAAATGGAGGTAGCAGTGTGGGAGTCAAGAGGTGTTCCCACCGTGAACCCCAAAGTAGGATGATATTTAAAAATACGATTTAAAAGGTTTCAGCATATCCTAGACTACACTAGAAACATAACCTGCTCATGTGAGAGTTACAGGCACAGCTGATTTGTGCCCACACAGCTTTTTCACAACTGAACCATATTCTACAGTTCTATGGATACATCCAGATCTATCACACTGCTAATTGTGTTTTCATAGTGCTTTCTGGGGAAATAATGACAGCTAACCCATGATGACTCAACAAGCAACACAAGGACTAATGGACATGCACATAAAACAGCACCAGCAGCACATGGGACTAAGCACTCAAAAGACATCCCACTGCTTAGAGAGTTGGAAGGAAGCAAGATCAGTTAAAGTGGTTACATGGGCATGATTATGAGGTCCCAGCTGCACAGCAAAAATATGAATGTTATGACCTGGCTGCAGGAAAACAACTGTATGCAACCTAAGCTGCTGATGAGGGCAAAACACCATTACAGCGGCCATGGTTACCATGTGTTATTAATCACGTTTTTTGTGTACATGCAAGATGTGTAGAACCAACCATGTCATTAACTGGTTACAAACCCAGTATATGGATGGTAAGTTAAATATGGTGGTGGAGTTTCAGGTAACTATGTGTACAGGGCACTGGGAGAAAACGCTGTGCTACTGTGAGATGATCAGGGAGTGAGCTTGTGTCTATAATGTCTGACAACAATTCCATAAAAACCCATTTGGCAATTCATTCTACTTAGCTAGAACAGCTAAACCAGAGAGGTCAGTTTTACCTCTGCTGTTCTTTGGGTTCACAGCAGGGGAATTTTAAAGCAGAATAAAAAAAAAAAATCTCCACTGGGATTTCACTGAAATTAAAATAAGTAACTTAAAAACTAAACAAAACAAAAAAACCCCAAGAACACCTTCATATTAGGTTTAGTTTAAGCCACTAGTTTATACTGGAAGAGAAAAATACCTTTGAACTTGGCTCCCAATCACATATGGTTCATGAATTATAGACAGTATATTTCCACTTCCAAAGAGTGTATTAAAAGAGGAAAGGATTGAATGACATCTTCTTCCGGGCAGAATTTATATGAAATGATTCATCTTTTACCTCATTGCCGATTTTCATTTTCAGTTACAAGGAGGAAAGCTCTTAATCATTCTGGATAGCTATCTTTTTGGTTTTCATTTAAATTATGTGTTATATAGCTTAATTTTTCTGGGTTTCCATTCCAACATCACAGTTACAACTTCAGGGCTTGATCCAGCAGGATATATCAGCATATCTGAACTGTGCAACCCTTGGAAGATGCCACCAAAAAAATAAAAACCCCAACAACAACAAAAAGTGGAAATCTGGAGAAGGAAAGAGCTTCCTGATCGTGGTTACTTAGGATTCTCAGTATTGTCCACCCCACTCAAGCCCCACCTTCTCCCTCTTGAACCAGAGTTGGTGCAAAATGATACAACCACAGGGATGGAAAAGCCTTCTCATATACATTGTGGCTGACCTATTTAGGAACGATGAGCGGTTCCTATTATCTAACCCAAATCTCTCTTTTTTCTCCCATTGTGCCTCTTACAGAAGCTCTCCCAGTCCAATGTAGTCTCCCTGAATTAAAAGAGGACCCCCTCCACTTTTTTTCCCCTCCCAAATGGCCCTATTTAACTTTCAAAAATCAACATGTATCCAAGTCCTGTGCATGGTCTTAAGTGGGGGACGGTCCAGGGGAGAAGGAGAGACAGCTTTGGACGGAAGTGGAAACACAATTGAGTGGGGAAATAGCCTACACGAAATTTGTAATCTTGTGAAGTTTTACACAATACCAACTAGTTTGAAAACGATTGCAGTAGGGGCAATTGTATATGAACGGCTAGGCTGGGAGTCTATAGTGCTTTCATTGCAGTGTAAGCTTAAGAATCTAAAAGCGACAAATCACTTACCACATGTTGGAACATCTTCCTCAGCTGATGAGGTCTGTTCATCTGTTGATGGCTTCTTCTTCCCTAAACTGATGATCTTTGTTATTTTTTTCCCGGTTACTTTAGTCACTGTGCCCTTGGTCTCTGACTTGGAACTCTTCTTCCTCTTAACTATCAAGAAAACAAACATGGACATCTTAGTATGTTTGACTGAAACCAATTATATTAAAGCACATGGATCAAAATAGACATGAAAACAACTGCACTGCAGATATACAAGCACGCACAAAACTGACTTAATTCTTAACGCAAGCATTTGGACAAAACAGCTACCTTCTGACAAGAGACGCACAGTTGCAGGCATCATTAATGCTGATACCCATATCACATGCCCAGCACAATATTAAAAACATGACACACAGAAAGGTAAGACTAAAGCAAGTTTATCATTAAAATTCATCAGTCGAATTGCTCCTCTCCACTATAACCATCTTCTAATTTAGAAGTGTGGTTGGGGTAATTCCATGCTGTACATTCAACCTGACTACACTGGAACAAAAATGGAAGTTGGATGATCTCCTGTCATTGTTCCTGAAAAGCATTTCCAACATAATGCCATGGCAATGAATCAGGCCTTTTTTTTTTTTTTTAAGTAAGTATATGCCTGGCAAAAACATCCCTGCTATTGGAACTAGGAAAAGGTAACTATACAGATCAGAATGGGTCTTTGAGAAAGGCATGTATTATAAGATAACTTTCCTTTATAATGGAATAATCAAGATCACTTAATGCTCCCAATGACTGGGAGCTGGTGTTCATTTTTATGGAAAGGACAGTGCAGAAAAAAATAGTTTACTAGATCTAATCAATATATATGGGAACTTAAAATAATGTACGAGTATTATTGGTATGAACATACAGATTGGTGCTGAACTTAACTTGCTTCCATTAAAGTGAACAGGATCAGTGCTGAGGACACAACTTTCAAAAGTGGCTAAATGACTTAAGAGCCTACATAATATATTTTTAAAAAATAGAGCAGACAATCACAACCAATACAAAAAAACAGAGCTGCACAAAACCAGAACCATAATTATCTGGCTTGAGTTTTATCAACAATATAAAACTCAGCCCCAAATATTATTGCAAACATGGGCCCACTCTGAGTTCAACCTTAGTTGATTTGTGGCTTTGACAAAAAATGAAATTTAACTTAGTGGTTTTGACAGAACTGACAGTTTGTTAGAACCATCTTTCCCCCTCTCCACACACACAAGCACACATGCACAAAAAGCAGCACTCTGTGGGTCTGAACTGAGCCCCCCCAAAAACAAACAAAAGGTTCATTTGAAAGATATGAACTGAAATGTGAAATGTTGATTTAAGCACAACAATGTTAAAAAAATAACTGGTACAAATTATGTGAATTGGTAACTCACGGGAAAGAATGTACACAAGAGAGAAATAGTTCAGAAACTCTCAAGCCACAATTTGTTGTCTTTTTTTAGCCTTCGTTATTTGTTAACACGGGAAATCATTAGAAATTCCATCTGTCATCAAGACTGTCTCTTTCAGTAAGACTCTGCCACCAACGTATATGCAGCAGGGGAGTCCTTTTTTCACAGGTGAAAGTGGATTATCTGAAAACCTTCAGTAGAAAGATGATTTGTGTATGGGAGCAAAAAGCTAAATCCTGCCCATGGATCTGCAGGGCTGATGTAACCTAATATGGTGCTGTCCCTACATGCAATGAATTCCCAAAGTTCTAGGGAAGGAGAGTATCCCATCTGCTCATATCATCGTGAGCATAGGGAGACAGCAGGAGGCAGCACTGGACTGAAGACGAGCTGCTATCCCATACAGCAGCAGCTGAAGAATATCTGCAGCTGTGGAGTAGGGGAGGGAGGGAAGAAGAACGTTTGTGTCTGCATTTGGGGAATAAATGCTCACATCCCTCAGAACTCAAAGAAAGACAAATCAAGCTCAGTAAGGTGGAAAGTGCAAGGGAAGAATTCCCAGCTCCGGGAAAACGCAGTGAAAGGAGCCCACGTGAACTCTAATGTTCTTGCTTCTTCTACCTTCACTCCGCATGGCGTTTTACTCCACCATGGAGAAGAAAGGTAGAGGAAACAATATTTCTCCCAACCTCTTTCTCCTGCAGTATGTAAAAGGGATACATCCCCTGATCTCAAGACAGATTGGCAAGTAAGCCATTTCTTCTCACCTTCTTCACCACCGCAGAACAAGATGCTGGTGGAGAGAGGGGAAGAGTAGAAGCAGGTGGGCAGCAGCTCTGTGGGAGCAGAAGGGAGATCAATGCACAGTGAAGTCAGCTTCCCTTCTCATGGCTAACTGAGCTTTCACTCTCACTGTTACAGCTGATTTAAAAAAGAACCTGCAACTCATTCAGAACCCCTTAAAATGATTTAGTGATGACAGCTATGTGTTAATGCATTAAATGTCAGTATTTAAATCTCTTCACTACTATAAAAGACTGATTCTACCATGACAGAGTTGAAGGCCAAGAGTTTCAAGTGACTAGTGCTTTTGATTACCCAGCTTCAGACACTTCAAATGGGCCTTATTTTCCGAGGGTGTGCATTCAGCACACTTTTGAAAATCAAGCCCCTATAAGGTGCCTCAAGTTGGCCACTCAAATCACTAGTCACTTGTGAAAATCTTGGACTATGCACATATTTTGGACTTTCGTACCACAGACACATGCAACCAGCATGGGGGTCTACAGAGACACAATTTTTTTTGCCTTCTGTAGTTTTATGGAAGTTTCTGTAGTATGTAAATGTAGCCATACATTTTGGACCTAGAAGTCATAGTGAGCTACTATGTTCCATTCTGTTGACTGGGGTGTGGAGATCTATGAATTTGGGAGATTTGTTCAAAATCTCCATTGGAAAAGGAGGGCAAAGATTACAAACTAAAACACCCAAAGGAAACACACACCCAATGGTGTCAGGAAGGGGAGGCACAGTGCAACTTGCCCAAAAGCCAATGCTGATGCAACTGTTTTCCAATAGCACTTCCATCAGCTTTTTCACACCTACAGGAAAGTACTGATTAAAGCAAATGTGCTCTTCTGAATAAAACTGAATATCTGTATATGTCAAGCTAACTAGCTTAACTAGGTTGGTATCACCTGTTTACAGAAATCTTTTCTTCAAGGGGAAACAAAAAGATAATCTGGGGATTGATTTTGCAGACCTTACTCAGGAAATTGAATTTGGAATGTCCCTCAGCTTGGAATCAAAGGACTGGGAACAAGCTTTCTGACTCCAAAGTGGAGTAGATCATTTTAAAGTCATTTTGCATACATGATTCTTGTCTTCCCTTATAAAATTCTATGATACCCTTCCTGTTTAAAATTATAGGGGAAAACCTTACATACAGTTAGTGGTTGGCTCAACTCCCCCATAGAAGACAGCGTACTTTATGAACACAGGAAAAAGTCATTTCAAAATTTACATATGGGCCTTGATCCTGCTGTCACTTACATCAACGTTACAGGTGGATAACTCTCATAACTAGAATGGAGATATTCTAATATCCACCAATGTAAAGGTTTACGTAATTCAAGCTTGGTATAGTTCAACTTTCAGGGTAGACATAAAGACTAATTACATTACTTACAAAGCGTTATTACCTATTCCCCAATTCATAAAAGAAAAAAATTATTATATTCTTTATGCTGAATATTTAAAACACACTCAGCATATGGGATTCACCTTGTTCTTTTCCATTACACACAGCAGCGATTCCATTTTCTATAGCACCCTCCCCATCTGAGCTTGGCCTCTCAGAGGACAATTTCTGCATGGACAAAATAAATTAAGTCATTTCTCATGTGGTCACACTGGCCAAATGATGTGTCATGAGTCAAATTAAAGTTACGCTTATTATTAAATTAAACACATGCCAAGCATCCATCCTGAGGACAAATAAATATGAGATAGTCAAGTGTTCATTTACATTACATAGATTTCTTATGTCACCACACAAGCATTAAAAACAAAATAAAACTAAGCCACATTAGAACTGTATTGCCAAATATATCCATTCTTTTATCCTTTTAAGAGTAATTTAAGACTAATCATGTAACCCTAATTTAACAATAAGCAATGTTACCCATAATATATTTTTATTACATTTTTTGATTCTAAAATGTTGCTCTCTATTAATGTGCTAAACAACAAGTGCTCATTTTACATAAAAGAAATCTTCAAAACTAGATCTTTAATGAATGCTTCAGGTATACATTTACAACTTACAACCTACCAAACACAACACATTTCTATAGGTAGAATTTCCGTATTTTCGATGTGCGTAAGTAAGGGTCCCTTGCTGGTATGAACTAGAGTAAATGGTGGATTCTCTGCAACAGGAAATCTTTAAATCGTGATTTCAGTAACTCAGCCAGAGGTTATGGCTCTATTACAGCAGTGTGGGGGTGCGGTTCTGTGGCCGGCAATGTGCAAGAGGTCAGATTAGATTATCACAACGGTTCCCTTATAGTCTGAGACTATAAAAAGGTCTGTGAAATAAGAGACTAGTAATTATGTGTATATTACTAATAAAAAATTAAAAATCTAAAGTTTATAAAATAGCTATTACCTAAAATGTGTGGCATAAACAAAACTCATATGTTGTGGTGTGCCATAAAGCTTTTTATTGGTATCTGTTTAACACAATTTACATAACTCAATCATGGCTTCACCACTTATGAATAACATCGGCATCCCAAATTTGTGGCAAGGAAAACTTGATACCGCACCATCCTGTATTTCCTTCCCAACCGGTACAGAGTAACTGGTGCTAAAAACTTAATTGAACAGACTCTTTTCTTACATATACTGAAAGGTCTGAAATGCTACCTGTACAAATGTGTTGTTTGTGTAAGGCTGTCAATTGTAAATGTATATCTAAAGCATTCATTAAAAATATCATTTTGAAGATTTCTTTAATTTATGAGCACTTCTTACCTGATCTTGCTGTTTAACACATTAATAGACAGTAACATTTTAGAATCTCTCTCTATATATATAATATTGTAAAACAGGCAGGGGAAATGTCTCACGACAATTAAACAGCCCCATGAGCTCAAATCAGTTGGCATGGGCCAGCCCCGGGGGTCTAACTGTAGTGTAGATATACCCTTAGTGAGTCAGGGAGCCAGGTATCTCTGTGTCAAAACATGAGCACTTCACAGGCTCTCAACACTGCCACCTCGCTATGCCAGGGGTGCTCAAGCCTCAATACAGACTGGAATTCCTCTGCCAGGCCTCCAAAACTCCAGTCCAGCCCATCATATCCCCACCAACCATTCCTCCCCAGGCTCCACATCCCTGCTTGTTTCCCTCTGCCTCCACAGGTCCATCTCTACACCAGAGCTCACCCACCATGTCCCGTGCTACTGAGCATGCCTGCTTGTAAGCATCTAAAACAAAAAGCTGCTGATGGATATGAGTTGCTGAAGTTGGCCAATTTTGCGTTGCCTGAATATGAGGAATAATTGTGTGTGTATTTCATTTAAAAAATGGCCTCTGCCAGAGATGTTATCAGAATGTGAGAGAGAAATTTGGAGTCTTTGGGAACTGTGCAACTTATGTAGAGGAACCCAAAGAAATGTGAGGAAGAAGGGGAAAAATTTCCACAAATGTGGCATCTTAAAATGTTTCCTCTGCAAAAGTTACCAAGTATTTTACTGAAAAAGCTACACAGTTACTGTGCCAAATGTAGAGATTGAATTCAATCATTAATTGGAGTCCTGCTTTAAGGGTAAATGCAAGCTGAACTTTAGAGTCACTGTTGACATCTCCATAATATAACACCATCATCTATCTTTGCATTAGTAATACTTTAACTTTACCTTTTCCAGTTCTGTCTTGTGTATCGGAGAACTAGATGATGGTCCATCTGAATCTATCGCTCCAGTGCAGTTGCTGCAAACGTCTTTTATCACCTTAAAAAGAAGTACAAAATGGTTTCATTGACACACAAGTCAAAGAACAGAAAAATTATATTTTGCTGAGCAGAGGACTTTATTCGAGATGAAGCACTAAGAATATTTGCTATCCTGAAGGTTAAAACAGCAGTGTGGAAATTATTCTCTTTATCCACAGGCAATATGTTAGGCAGGCTGCCACTGCTTGAGCTTCTCCACACTGCCTCACTAAATCGCTTCATGAATGACCTGGAGGAGCCATAATGTCTAGAGGTGAAAGGTTTCAATTTCTAGACTAGCTAATCTCCAAGCCTCTCCTGAGTAAAGAAGCTGCCAGCACTTGCAGTAGTTTTGCAACATGAACTCAGCTGACACCACCAAATTCATTTCGTTATGACTAAAAAATGGGATTAGATCCAAGATCCTGCAAGCCAGGGGACAGCACTGCTGCCTAGTATGCTACCCAGCTGCTTTTTTTCTAATGAAGAAATAATGATGTGCTGACCAAATTGCAGATCTGTATCAGATACTCTTGAGTGTGTGGTTTAAATGGATTTTTCATATTCATTATGTGATGTTCAGTGGTCACAGTAACATTGGCACTGAAGCATAGTTCATACTACTTGCAAATATCTCTTAGGAAATGTGAGTTATTTTATGCGCCCCTCCCCTGCAAAGAAAGAAAGAAAGAAAGAAAGAAAAATCCACAGAAGGAGATGGATTTTGATAGAATTTATGGGAGCTCAAAAACTGCATCTGTAAAATAAGGCCTCAAAAATATAAAGGCAGAAGGCTTTTACTTTTCCTGTTTTCTCTGTGCACACAGTTTGGTTTTGATTCTTAGATAGGGTTGCCACCTACCAATCTTCATACTGGAGTACCTGGTGTTGAGGGGAATATTTGAGTTCTTGATTGCAAATGCCTTAGAGAGTGTAGATATCGCCAGAAAAGTGACTATGTAAAAATGGGACCTTCTTAATTAACAGCTCTCCTCCCTGGGTGTAGTCAGAGCAGCATCTGCTGACCTGAATGACATATATATGCTTTTACTCCCCTTTGCCCTTGCTAATACAGCAGAGTCCACCCAGCTAAGAGAGAAATGCATTTTATTGTGCTTGAGGCATCATTAACAGAAATGTGAACTAAGTTCCAAATGTAGGGCCAAATTCTGCCCTCATTTATACTTCTAACATCACATGATTTATCTAGCGAGAGAACTTGGCTCACAGAACCTTCACTCCCAGTGACGGTACACAAGCCAGAATACAAGCTTAACATTCAGATCCCAGGCTGTTTGCATGGCTGAAATAAAAATATCTTTTTAATTGAAAACTGAACAAATTTGATATGGAAACCATTAAGACATAACAAAGATGGCATCAAATAATGTCCTTTTCTAGTTACTAGAGCTGAACCTCACTTTAAGGGCATACTAAGCAAACCAAGTGTCTATCTAAAGTACTTATATGGCCCTGTTATTGCAGTATCTGAGCAGATGGGGAATTGAGGCACAGAGAGTCTAAGTGTCTTGCCCCAGGTCACATAGGAAGTTGCTAGCAGAGCAAGGAATTGAACCTAGGTCTCTTGCTTCCAGGCTAGCAGCCTGAACACTGGACCATCCCTCCTCTCAGGCCTATTGACACTCTACTCCCTTCCTCCCTGGCACCCCAAACACACCCACACTCTTTTGGGGACCACAATGCATGCAATTTTGCATCTTGAGGTCTGGCCCCAGCGCTCGCTCTCTCTTGTCAGTAGCAGGGTATGAATACCACTTAACAACTTTGGCATCAAAACCAGATATAGATACAACTTATGGTCAGATTTAATTCCTGTGCTTCAGTTTAGTGGAAGTATGTGAGTGTTTTATTTGTAAAGAAACTTGACCATTCAGTTTCTGGGAACATTCATTCCTGTCTCCTGCATGACCTTGATACAACGGCTCATGTTTTCAGCATCTGGTCACACCACACAGTTAGTTAATTTTGGCAAAGGCAGATAGTAATGGAAGTTACAGACAGAACAGAGGGAAATGATTTGGCAGCAACCACAGAATAGTATGTGCAAGTCATGCACTCGAGTAAATACTGTTCTTGAAATACCTCACACACTTAAGGGAAAGCTTTCCCAAAGTGCTTAATTGGGTTTTAATAGAATTTTGAATAAAAATGATGCACAAATAATGTTGATCATAGGAAGCTCATGGCAAACTCTGAAGCACATGCATATTCAAAAATTCAGTTTGTGAACATTTTTGGATTCAAGGGATCCATCTTCAGCTGGTGAAGATTGGCTCATCAATTTCCATGTGGAACATTACTGTGTTTTATTCACAGTTTCAAACTTGTACTTCCATGGTGTTCTGGATGAGTGCTTTGATGCCCCTTTTATAATTATGTTGCCATAATAATTGCTGTTTTCACATGCTCATAGTTTTTACTCACAACTTTTGAAGCTGAAACATCAGTGTGGCCAACTCTCATGATTTCATCACGAGTCTTAGAATATATGTTGATTTTCTTAAAGCCCCAGGACCTGGAGTCATACGAATACACAAGAGCCTCAGCTTTCATTTAAAACAATGAAGTTTGCATTCCTCATGGTCAATGAGAAAAGCATGAAAATGTGACCTGAACGTATCCTAATAGCTCAAAAAGGCACATAAAAAGAACCCTAAATTTATTTTTAATATAATCTCATTACTTGGGGATTTGAGTCATGATTTTTGAATGCTAATACTATCTCTTGCAGTGTCTACTCAAAAAAGAGGTTTTCATGGAAAGACTGAACAAAATTCCTTCAATATTTTAGATTTCAGTGTGAGGGGTGGGTGGGAGAGAGTTTTCCTCCCTCTCTCTGTCTCCCACACACACAGACAGGAGTAGCGTTCATATATGCCACCAGCCGACACTGATCCATTGAGGAAAGTCAATCCAAGTTTGTATGAAATGAAGCATTATTTTAAAGTTTAGGACTACATAAAATCAGCACACTGCAAGCTTTTCATTTTTTTGATCACTTCAAAGCTAAACCACTTAAAATAAACTTGACAAATTTCAGCCCCCAAAAGTTAAAAATATTTCCGGTCTTAACATGTGAAAATGGCTTTTTGGAATGAAAAGGTTGAAAACGTGTAGGCTGGACATTTTTGTGCAGCCTGAACTATATATTCATATTTTTTTTCAGTCACAATAGTGCCTGGAGGCCCCAACTGGATCAGGAGTCTGTCGTGTGAACTATTGTACCAACATAGGTCTGATCCTACAAACACACACACTGTGTCTTATTGACTTCAGTGGCACACAAGGTAAGTGTGGATCAAGGCCACATAAAGACAGAGTACCTGCCCCAAGGAGCTTGCTGTCTAGGTGTGAAATCCTGGTCCCACTGAAATCAATAGGAGTTTTGCCATTGACTTCAATGGCGAGGATTACATTCCTGGTGTTTGCAGGTGCTGGGCCTACATGCTCCAACTACATAAGCATTTGAGTTAATTATAGGGTGCTCACCTGTACTGAACTCATCAATTTCCACAATTACTATTTACTATTTTAAATGAACACTATCAAGGCTGGACGGCCCAGTATAGGACCTACCTTCCTTTCTTTTACATGCTTGTAAAACCCAAATGCTCTAGTCACCTGAATTTATCCACCATCTTCCATGAGACAGGCTGCAGATAAGATACCAGCTATGTCGTAAGCCAGAGAACTGGTTGCCTGCTATGTAGAACCCTCCAGAAAAAGAAAAACTTCTCTGCATTCCATAGAGTGGCAGAGATGCGCTAAGTGAGAAGAACTTGAGTAAATGAATTCCTTGCCTCCTGGCCACTGCCTAACTCTGAAGATAGTAATACTGTCTCTTTAAAAGTGGTGGCTGGGGAGGGTTCTAGATAGGAGTGCTAGAATGAAACAGAGGGAGAAGAAGTAGCTTTAAGGCCAAGCCCCTGTTTTTCTTATTCTCATATAGCTCTTTGCTCTGTGTTAGAAGAAGGCGGTTATTTACCATTATCAAATGTGACAATGGCATCCTGAGTCTGTCCGTCTTTCTTTTCAGCCTGTGTGAGTTACGGCCCTAGTACAGTAGCAACCAAGTGCTGGATGTTTTACAGGCAGATATGAGAAATCCCCTGAAGACCTCTCCGTCTAGCAATTCACGTAAGTAGCCCCAGCAGGCTAAGAGGGAGAGAAGAAATAACTTTCCCACGCCACTCTCCAAGCACTAAAGACGAGCTCCTGCTCCCCATTGCAACGACACACCTCTTATAAAAGCACCCCTAGACTTAAATGAAAAGGACCATCTCCCCTGCCCATTGCCATTGGTTGGGAGGAGCGGAGAGTGGCAGGGGACTTCAAACGAGCTAGCAACTATTAAGATGGTCTTTAGTCCACACATATCCCCTTTAAAATTCGCTCCCATCTGACATTCAATCAGGCCAACCCCCATACACACTGGCCTGTGTTATTAACATCAAACCTACTGCCATATATGGCAATTGGATCAGAGTCTTGTGAAAGGAGCGTTGGGCAGCTACGTAATGTTGCTTTAGGCTCTGGCATTGCAGTACTGCTACAGATGTGGAGGTACCCCCTCGGAACGGAAAGCTGCCTCCATCGCCCCCTGGATGCGGATATTATTTGAGGCCGAAAAGCTCCCCTTGTAATCACAGATATGATTTTCTACAAACAGATGTTTAATACCCGTTTTATGAAAACAAATGCAAAGAAAGGAGCTCAACCCATGAGCTAACAACCCATGAGCTAACATGATTACATGTGAAAGAATGGGAAATTATTGGGGAAGGAATATTATCTAGTGGTTAAAGCAGGTAACTGAGTATCAGATCTCCTGGGTTCTCTTCCCACACCTACTGCAGACTGTATCTGTGACTTTTAGGAAAGTGTAATTCTGCCCTAGAAAGTGACTATACAAGTACGACATGTGTGGTTCCATATTAATTGTTTTTCTGATTTTCATATCACATGTGCTCATTTTACACATAAAGATTCTTTTTCTTA